TTCGGTCACCCATTCAGGAGTCGCCAGAGGATCACATGATGCCGAAAGCAGAAATTTTGCGGCTTCATCTCCCCAGCATGTCGAAAATGAGGAGTTTAAACAGGCTGTTCTTGATAGCTATGTTGGGAAAGGAAGTGGGAGAACAACACAGAGTTTTAGGGATTGTCAGCGCATTGCTGAGAGAAAAATTGAATTTTCACAGCAAGTTGCAGAAACTTTTGCAAAACTTGGCAAGAATCCATCCAGGATTGATGTGAAGAATGCTTTTAAAAATTTAGGTTTTAAGTGGAAAGTACATGTGAAGGACCAACCTGTAAATGCTGTGATTTCCAAAGATCTTGACCCTGAAAGTGAAGAGTTCAGGCAACAGGTTCTGGAATCATTTGTTGGTCTGGGCTTTGATTCGTCTCCCGAAGACTTGGAGGCAGCTTTCCGAAGGCTTGGGTTGAATTGTCCTGGTGGATCTTTGTACAGATCTGATGTTCATGAACCAAAAGAAACTCACAGTTCTCCTGATTCTGATACTTACAATCCTTGCAGTTCTTATACCTGTACTTCCATTCCTTCATACTCAGCCAGTAGTGATGATGATTTACCAACATAGCGATACCTGGAAGTCTAGGTGCAGCTAAAATGATGAAAACATTATTGCTCTTCAGTGATGTGATTTGTGCTGTGAGAAATGCCACAGAGTTGGAATATCTTATGTTAGTTATATGACTTTTTTCAGTTTTATGTGGTAACTTTAATGGTCCAGTAAATTGGACTGTCATATAAATGTATACAATTTTAATGAACTAACTATAGAAATTGTAGGTGTATCATTTGCATGGTGTTTAATATTGGCTGATTTTAATATATGACCTTTTTTGACAATGCCACAAGAGTTCTTAAAATAAAATGTCTTAAAAAACATAATGTAGTTTAAAATTTTACACTTTTCAGTCATAGAAGAATAATGGAGATGTGGGAATGTGGATATATTTTTATGGGTAAGTAAATACTGGTAAATTGTAAAGAATGTCATACCATACAACAAGCTAATAAGTTACAGGTTTTTATTTGAATACAGTGTTCACAAAGGTAAAACATCGATCTCTAATGAATCTTAAGTTGAGTCTAAGCAAACTGTTATCTAGTTTCTTCTCCTTCAGACAGTTTTAGTTTGTGTTTAGAGCACATACGTTATTTTCAACCCATGGAACAGCCTTCATTTATTAGTTTATTGTTATAGCCCTGATCAGAAAATTTTGATTTGTTGTGGAATTAAAGGTCAATTTACAACTGGACTTCGTCCTGACAAATTTAACCCAGTCCCTTTTTGGGGAAAATGAAGTAAATTTGCCCTTTGTGGTAATTAAGTACCATGCCACAATGACCTATAGGGCAGTGGACGTATAACTCCATGTATTCTTAACCTTGGCACTGAATGGAAATGAGTAGTCAGTTTTTGTAAAATAATTTCGATTTTCATTTAGATCGGACAATTGTAACGTCCACTTTACATAAAAGATAAATACCGTTTGAGGTTAAACTGCTTTATTTAACTTGCATAAACATGGAAAATATTTTGCATTGATAAATTTTTGGTTAATTAAATTTACTTTACATCGCACATTTTGCATCTTAATAATTTACTTGGTTACAAACATTCAATACAATATTAATTAACTAAAACTGACGTTGAAGTCGACAATTCTCGTTCTTCATATGAATAGACCTTACACCTACCACAACTGTAAGCATGAACAAGTGATGTTTATTGATATGACCATCACATTCAATTCAAATAACAGTTATATAATACAGCATCAGGGACACAAAAAGTGTTGGATGATGAAAGCATGAACAAATTATGTTTAATAATATGATCATCACATTCGATTATAATAAACGTCGTAGCTTAGGAGCAGAATGGGTAGGTTATTTATGGTACAGAACGTGTTCAACTGTTGGCTATGCTGTAGCGATTAATTTCCCGGGTGTGATCAGAAGCCCGTGATGGACCATTTTGTGGCTATTAAAATGTGCTGATAAAACACGTTAAGTGATGCAAGCGGTATGGCAAGTTCGCGTTTTAGGTAGGATTTAGTATACTTTTAATTTATTGTGGATTCCACGAATGTATTGAAGCTGAAAAGTATTTTTGATTGTAGTCATCAGCAGGATGTTCCTATGTAGAGTTAAGAATAGGGACCTGTTTTTAATGGAAAGGTGGGTGTTACCTAAATAGGTAATGCTGTCAGTTTTGATGGTTATTAATATAAGTGTATGTTTCTAGCAAAGTTGATGAATATGGCTTTGAGCGACCGGATGATTTCGACTATGAAACTTATGAGGACTTCATGTCACAATATTTGACAGTGCTTGCAAAAAGGGCCAAGAAGTGGGCTGAGCTGATTGGGGAAGGGAAATCTTTGAAGAGGAGTTTGAAAGTAAAGACATACGTTAGGAAAGGTATCCCAGGAGAACATAGAGGTTTTGTAAGTACAAGAAGTGTCAAAGCATATATTTGATATCATCCATGAATTATGTAATTACAGTCTTTGTGTATCTGCAGGTATGGCTGACAGTGAGTGGTGCAGAAGCTCTGAGAGAGGAATGGGGTTCAGATTTTTATCAGAAGTTACTGTCTGGACCAATGAATCAAGATATAGTGGACATTGTGAAAACAGACCTTCCTCGGACATTCCCTGATAATATTTTCTTCAGTGCAGGAGCAAGTCATCAGCAGCAGCTGTATAACATACTAGTTGCTTATGCTCATGACAACCATCAAGTTGGATATTGCCAGGTGTGTGTCATGAAGACAGCTTACTTTGAATAAGTATAAAAACAGTCTGACAAAGTGTATAAATGTAGCTAATGTTTTACTTTGTAGAACTATGCAAGTTTTCAGTTATGTTATGAATAATGTCAGAATATCAGTTTGTTTAAACCAAGTATGAATGTACCATTTGCTGAAAGACCTGTATTTCTCAGTGGTCAACATGGGGAAATTCCCAGATAAAAAAGTAATCTGATGAACCCAAAGTAAAGTAAAGCTCTCCGGCTGCATGCCATGGAAGTGTTTGCAGAGAAAGGGGGTACATCTGATCATTCTTGATCTAAGCATTAGAGTGGTCAGCATCATGCCCTGGCTCTGCTTTACACTCTGTGCTGCAAAATAAACTCTCCACTTCACTATTACAAAGATTAATTGGTTAGTTCTGTTTAAGGAAATAAGCTCTGTTTAGGCTGATAATCATTTTAAACCCTTAAATACAAAGTGCAGAGTAACTGAGTGGTAAAGTGGCTGGTACATATATTTATCTTTTTGCTTGAAGGGGTGAATCATGGCTTTTCAGTGTTGGCATGTAGTGAAGAGCAGGTTCCTATTCAGTTTTCTCAGTGACAGATGTTGATGGACTGTTTGCTTTCAATAGGGTCTTAACTACATTGCCGGTCTCCTGCTTCTTGTTACAAAGAGTGAAGATATGACTTTCTGGCTGTTGAAAGTTCTTGTGGAACACATCTTGCCAAACTATTACACCCGCACTATGGATGGTGTGATCACAGATATTGAAGTTCTGGAGGAGTTAGTCAGGTAACAGTGTACTGAATTCTGAGCTGCTTCCACTTGGGGAACTCCACTTCTTGCCGTTAGATGTTCTGTACAAGATAGATGTTGAGGGACAGTTTGTTCGTACATAGAGGTACGATGTATTCGAAACATGCTTTATGAACTTAGAGTTGCAGTGTTCTTTAACATCAACAGAATGTCTGTCACATTTGAGGTTTTTGTGACAGTGAAGAGTTATAATTGGGTTATGATGCCATGTAGTCTTAAAGGTGGTTTGTGATAATTCTGCACTGAACAAGGAAGCAATAGATTCGTCTGAAACAATGGTAACCGCCTATAAGAGTACTATGGATCATAACACAGAAATATCACTGTCCAAACTCTTGTCTGTCGGACCAGTATATTGCTCATTGTGGTTGGTGCATTTTAATTTGTGTATGGTTGCATATATCTCTTCCCATTGTAACGTATTATCTGTTTCATACTTGTGTTATTTATTGCGGAGATTGCTGACATGTTCAGACAGCACAGAGTGGTATTGTATACCCAATGACCAACAAAGCATTCATGTAAATATGACCGTGAATGGATTGAGTCACGACATTGCATTCTCGTGATCCCTTTTGAATGAGGAGCTGTTATCTGTGAAGTTTTTGATTCAGTTCTCTTTAGTTTCAGGTACCATTTTACCTTTTTTACTTTTGTGTAGATGATGATGTTATGATGTGGTTCATTTCAGACTAAAGGTTCCTGAAGTGCATCAACATGTTTCATCCATTGGCTTGCCATGGGCTGTAGTAACTACAAAGTGGTTCATCTGTCTCTTTGCAGAGGTTCTGCCAGTTGAGGTGTGTGTGTTGAGAATGACCGCACTTGGTGATTTGATTGAAACTTGGGTAGGACAAGAGAGTTTGGCATATAGGCTTTATGATTCCTTATTTCTTAGAGCATTTTTTCTCCCTCCACATTTGCTTAGTCTTGGAAAGCACTTCTCAGAATTCCAAGTATTTTGTCCACTTGAGGGTTTGTTTATGACAACCCCAAGATTAGGATAAGCAGGATTACTGGCAGAGATAAAAATTATACATGAACATTCATTCCTTCTGTGGGTCAGCGATCTCATTGTTCATTTGGCTTTAAAACATGCACACCTTGTATTGCTTTGCCATTGAACTTTAAGATGCCAAGACTGCGAAATTTTTGTCATATAAATATTACCATTTTGTGTATGCCAGGGTAAAGTGATGTAAATCCAAACAGTGCAACCAAAGTATGGTTGCTACTTTATAGCCCATGTTTCGTATTACTTGTAATGTAGCAAAGCTGTCACTTCTGCATCAGGTTCATGTGTAAATTGAATAATCATATTTACATAAATTTTTAATAAATGTGAGAACTTTTTGAAAATTGTTTTGTATTTGACAAACATTTGGTATTGTGCATTTTTACCTTAGCACTGAAGATATATGATGCCAGTTGGCACTGTGGGAATGCACTTGCACAGGATGGTGAAGGGAGTCATGATATTGTATTCATTGTCTTCTTATTTAAGTTTTTAGGTAACTAATTGTTAAATATTACATTTGCAGAACACATAAAGGGCCCATATTTTTCTTCTGTTATACTAGAGTGCAGAAAAAGTCTAATAATAATAATAACAACAACAACAATACTAGTAATAATCATTATAATATATTTAAAATTGCGAGCAATAAGAGAGTTCTGATTGGACCAGTGTTTGATCATGTGACCATTTGTGCATGAGTCCAGAATGCTAGCCCATGAGCTAAACTCTATTTTGTTATTTGTATTACCTAAATGTGATATTCAAAACACATGATTTTTTAGAGTTTCACATGAAAGATGTCCAATTAAAATAATAATCAACTAATGTTCTGATGAGGGAGGCAGCTGATGTTTCTCTGAAAAGACAAAAGTTTTTACATCAGTGTTTATTGAATGATTGAAGCTATTTGGGACAGGTGGTAGGATTCGGGATACCAAGGTGCACAGAACACTTGTTGATGCTGTGTGTGATCTCGTATGGATAACATCTTTTCAGTCTTGTTCCATTGGCTTCAATTGCAGCTACAGTATTTTTGAGTATAGTGTGTGTGTTGTGTTATAACAAGAAACTAGCCTTCAGTTCTTTTTGTGTTTTCTTTAAAATATTTAACATCAGACCTAATGTTTCCTTACATATCGTGTCCATAGGATGGTCATATGAAATTTGGACAGTACAGGAAGTCGCATTGACGAAAGACACATTGAACTAGCATGGGCTGTATTATTTCAGACTGAAACTTTGGAATAAAAAGTTTAATCTCTGTGTGTGTAAGTACTGTAATATGGATTAATTCAATTGGCTGAAGGCAGGGTTCAGTGACAATTAGGTTCTGGTAATAGAACACCTAGAGAATTTGCTGTGCAAACATGTGGAACCTTTGAAAGCAGAATCAGTACAACATATGATTGATGCTTGACTGGAAACCTTTTGGTCAGAGATTTAAGTGAATCAGTTGTAGTATTATTGTAATAAGTTTGTCTTATGTTTATATTTTCTCACTGTTTCAGACTGTGTTGAGGATATGGGATTGTTTGTTCTATGAAGGCTCCAAGATCATTTTCCGCGTGTGTCTGACACTGATAAAAAGGAATAAAGTTTCCCTTCTCCAATGTAATGACTTCTCATCACTTGCTGAATGTTTCAAGGAAATTACTAGAGACTCTCTAGTCATACAGTGCCATGATTTTATGCAGGTGACAGTCTTGTTAGTCTACTTTCCTTATTTTAAGGGATGTACTGACTTGGTCTGTGTATGTGTGTGTCTCCACAAATACGTTTTTTAACCAAATAACTAATTTTATTGATTTTGGTATGTATTAGAACTGTTCCCATTGCTTGTACAGTGTAAGCAGTACAAACTTCTGACATGGGATTGACACTAGTACCATTTTGTGTAGAGCCTTTAAACTTTTTATTTGGATACAGCTTTGAAAAATGTGCAACTTTTTGTATGGTGTTGTATTTTCTGTACGATGTAAGATAACAACATGGCAGGTGCATTAAATTTATGTAATTATTTTGCTTGGTGGCTATAGCTAATTAATTATTGGAACTAAACATTTGAAATGTTGTATGTAGAGAGATTATAAAGAAGTTTATTTATTGTAAGGGATTCTGTACTGCTATAAATCATGTACAGAAATGGATCACTAAATTATAGCTGCTGCTTGCCTCATGATGTAAGTTGAAATATTTCAAGGAAAGTAGTAAGAATTACTTCTTCCCAGAACTTGTTTTACTTGTATGTAAATCTCAGCAGTACTGTGCATGCCATATAGCAATGTTTGAAAGGGTAGGATGTTCCTTGTCCCATGTTATTGAATACAAAAACTCAGAAATTCTTCCCAGAGTTACTTTGTATGATGAATTTACCGTCCTTACATAAATGCAAGATGAGCTTTATTTACTGCTTTACTCTCTTTAAAATTTTAAGTTTATATTCAGTATTCTGTGACTTTTCAGAGCATATTCAAGGCACCTGGGTCATTATCACAAAGTACGATATTGAAATTGAGAAGAAGGCTGGCACAACAGAGGAAGAATCATACAGTGCAGTGACCAGTAAATTATGGTTATTTACTTAAAAAAGTGAAGCTGTAATTGTTTATTGGACATGGTTCTAGTCAGGAGGAATGGTGTCCTTATGAGAGGTAAACTATGCATATTGTATTTGTACTGGTATTTTCTGTACAATATTTGGTATGTGTTTTGACGTATGGAGAACAAATAATTGAAACGATTTTGATTGAATGGTTAACGTGTCCAGCCGAGACATTCATCTGATAGTGTGTATAAACATTTGTTGCTAGGACATTCTGCATCTGTCTTAACAGATTGAAATGATCAACTACCAAAATGTTTATCTTGTTAAGAAATGCGATGCACGCTGGCATCTGAAACTTCAAGAAGGAAAGTTAAGTTTTGTGGGTAGTTGGGTTTTTCAGATTTTGTTGTCAAATATCCTCCACATAGAACAGAATGCAATGTTTGCAGATAATTTCATGCCACTTCATATTTTAAGGTCTTGCTCTTGTATTACAAAATATCCTTGTAGTGCCATGTCTGTCTCGTAGCCTCAAACATTCAGAACTGCGGACATTAGATATTTACTCGTTTTGCTTTTGGTGGTCTGTCAAGTACCAGACACTGAATGGCAGGTCACAGTATTGTCTGGAAACTGTTTAGTTCCTTTTATATCACTGCTGTGAAAAAATCAAATCGTACTTCCTCTGTCATTTTTGTGTTGTTCATCATTTGTTTATTTGCCATGATAACACTGCCATGCCGTTGCTGTTTGATGTGGTCTACTCAAGAATATACAGGAGACCTATGTGTTTGATGTGTAGCTTGTTCATTGTGACATTACATGGCTTTACTGACCTTGGCATTGATCGAATGCCAGTAGACATCCCCCCTAGTTGAGACCTGAAATATGGGTCTTCCAATTTTTAATTATGTGGGAGACGTACATAGCCGAACTAATTTAGAACACAAACATAATTTGTTACAATGTTAACATGTTCTGGTAGGTGTTAGGCAACACACAATACTGCCTCTGTCATTTAATCCTATTTTGGCTTTGGAGAATGATTGTATGACCCATACCTGTGGAGTGTATGTTTTTGTTATAATCTGCTTTGTGAAATGGAATAAATGTCGTATTCTGGTGCAGTAAGTTTAACCGTTTAAAGCCCATTAGTAACTGTATGTCCTTCCTGAAATTTTCTCTTTATGGACTTCTTATGGCTTCTGTGTATAAGCAGCAATTATTTCCTTAAACACCATTAACCAGTTGATCTTTATAGGGGTAAAGTGTTGTATTTTGTTTGCAGTACAGACTGAATTCTTAAATATCATTTAGGTGAGCTTTGGCTTCAAAGGGTTCAAGGTTCTTAGTGATGGTGCAACATGCTTTATATACATAATTACTCCATTGGCCTTTAACCATCATGTTCTTCACATTTCAGAAGTGGTTATACTTCCATAATCAGGAGACATGTGGAAGATTTAAAGTCAGTACTGTGAAATTTCATTGGAAATTTTCTCATTAGGACTTTTCAGCACACGTACTTGCATTTTGTGGTTCACAAAAATGCAGCACATTTTCACAGTTCCTCTGTTTTCCTCTTGATTGCTGTAATGACGTTCTGCTGTAGGTTGTGCCTGTATACCTGTTGGCTAGTTTCTTCACACTGACATGAGCTGAACAAAGCCTCATGTAACAGCTGTTGTTATAGAAAGAACTATGTTGCATTCTTATTTAGCATCACAAAATTTGACAAAATTACCACTGCTATGGGGCAGCATTCTGCCAACATTTACATTTGAATACATGTTACATATACTGGGTTATGATATTTGAGGTTTCATAGCAGTGACATGTGGAGTTGACTTCCGAGTTGTGGCACCATGTAATAATGTTGGTGGTTTCCAGGGTTTTGGAGGAATATCACAGAACATGTGATCAGTAGTAGCATAAGTGTGGCTTGTCCGAGTCTGTTAACCATGTACCAAAGTCCGAAGTGACTATCACCTTCTCAAGAAGGCCTCTGCTCCATGTAGTTCCACTTTATTTCTTTAGTTGTTGGGCCTTCTGCAAAACTAACTGTGCTGACATCTGGCTGATGGTCTCTTTACTACTTTTGGTGGAATGGCTGTCAGTGTTACAAGTCCACAACAGGAGCAGTTATCCATTTCAGAACCTGTTACCCCTCTGTCTCAAGAATTTTAAGTGATAATGTTGTGCAGCTATGAATTCTGTTTACAGAAGAATTTCATTTTATAATTTTAATGTGTAGAGCAGTATTATGTGACTTTTGTCTGTATGTAGTATTAATGAAGTGTAATGTTTTGAGATTTATTATTTTGGTCTCTTCATTTACCCATCCCCAGAACAGCAAGTAACCCACTTCCTATCCTGCTTTTTCACATGCTCGTTGCGGTTACCGTCTTCAGGCATGATCTCGCTGACCTGCCTGTCCTTCATGGTGTGTTGACAGCCAGTATGACATGGAATCTGGACCATTGTGAAGGTGTGGTATTCAATACATTTTCAAAGTTTTGACTTCATTGGAGATGAGAGCTGAGGACCCAGTGTGTTCTTGAAATTAACACCAATGTGACACTGGGACTAAGCTTGCAAAATTAGTATTATATATAGAAGTAAGAAAACTTCCCTTTAAAGTGTAGAATAAGGAAGAGACATGGCTAGGTATGGGTTGGTCGCACTAACACCTGCTGGTAAAAGCTGGCAGAAATGACGTGCCTAACCATTTACTACACCTAACACTTCATACTGCAGCTGTATCTGAAAAGGAAATCCTTGAGAATTCCTAAATGCAGTCTGGAATAATGATCAATGGATAGGATTAAAACAATATCGGTATGCCAATGAACAAAATTTTTAGCAAATAATTTTGGCAAAAAATATATAATATTTACAGTTCATAATACTAGTTTCAAATAAAATTATTTCAAGATGTAAATTTAAAACATGATTCCTGGCTACCTACTGTTCGCAACTGTAATCTTGAGACTTACAAGGAATGCAGGAAGTCTGAAGCATTAAAGGCTACTGCATAGCAGACACTATTTCTCCTCCTTCAACCCACTGCCTCACCCAGAAAGTCTCAAGATTACAGTCGCGAACAAACATTACACATCTGATTATGAAAACATATCAGTAAAAATATTTCCTTGCTTCATGCATATTTTAACAAAACTACAACTTCCAAATGCCCTCATGATTTTCCACTGTCTAGCAAGTCCTTAGCTTCATTAATTTTAGCTGCCAACAAAGGTGATCCTCCACGGTCTGGGTGATTCAGAGCCATAATCCTCTTGTGTGCTTCCTGTAAAATAAAACAGTTCTGCAATAAATTTACCACATTTCTTTCCCTGGCTGCATCATGATACTGTAAGGCACAGGGTTCATATAGTAGTGGATAGTATGAGTCATCTGTCACTTGTACCCTATTCAGATGGTCCATTTAAACTAAACATCCTGACTGGATTTTTTGCATGAATTGTGTTCTTGTGAATTTCAACTTCTTAGACTGATTTACTGTGTTGCTGTCATTTGTGTTCTAAGGAATGGATAAAACATTACATTGTTCCCTTGAGAACAACTATGTTAAGAACATTACTGTTATGTACATTCATATTGTGCAGGAATGTTACAGAATGGGCAGTTTTATTCTGAATATGAGTAGGATGATAGGCAGTATTTCTTTTCAGGGTAGTGTGGATAAGTTGGCTTAACTGTGTAAGAAGCCTGGCTGGATCTCATAGTACTGATGAAAATAAACTATGTTATATGTATGTTATACCTTAACTTTCATTTTACTTGCAGTTGGTGAAATTCCTAAAATGAGACTTGCCTCTCGTCTCGTCATTTTTGGTTCAAATCCACCCTTATAATACTTGTTGTTTGCAAATGACTGGAATGAAAGAAACCTTATTACAGCACTATAGGGTTACATGAAATCATACAGAATAGACTCTTTGCACAACAAACACTTTAATTTATAACATACTGAAGGGTCAATTTTAGGAAAAGCCTTCATGGTGTCACTCATTTTCTGAGACATTCCTGGCACAGCCCGTATGATATATCGTCCAGCAAACCCCATGGCTGCTAATCCGAGACCTGCAAGTATGACACTGCTAGCCTGAAATTAACAATACACATTTCTATATTATCTGTCACTTTTTCAATTGTATTCTATTAATTTTATCGTGTTAAAGAGGTTATGTAATATTGCTCTAAGAATAGAATCCATTTACGAGTAATGACAGCAATATTTTGGATTCAATCTACAAATTATATATTTCTTTTAACGTGTGAGTATCCCTACCATTCCAATTATCTTCAGGAAAAAGTCGCAGGCCCATTCACTTAAATTCTGTCTGTTAAAAGCTCAGGCACTCACGAAAGATTTTCAAATCACCGTGTACTACAGATCGAGTAGAATTGCCGAGAAGTTAGACTAGTCCAAAGAGAACCACCCATCTTTTTAAAGTACCCTGGATGCGGTGCTTTTTTATTTTGCCTGTGATCTGAATGTGTATTCACAATGGTGTTCTGTAGCCCGCCAATTTGTTATCGGTGTCAGTGTGTGTAGGGTATAGAAGTATATTTGGCGGGTTAAAAGACAGTAATTATAGAAAATAAAAGGACGTAATGGCTGGAAAGGATTACATTAGTGAAAAAGGTGAGGCAAGATTCCATAATCTTCAAATGTATTTTTCGTCCAATGTAATTATTAGCACTGTACACTCAGTCAGTGTCTCATGTTTCTAGAATGCCTATAGCCATATAGATGTATTTATATTTGTTTTATTAATCGAAATATAACTTGTGATACGAAATTTTGTTTAAGAGGCCCAACAGTTACCAATGCATCAATTAAAGTTATGATCAGTTTAACAATTGTGTTCTGCAACAGCAAAAATTATAAATTTGTTTAATATAGGGTCTTATTTCTCATATTCTTTCAGTGTTAGCCATTATTTAATTAACATTTAATTCATTTTCAGAGAAACTCAAGCAGTTTTTGACAGAGTTTGCTGCCGTAGATGCAGAAGGACACAAAGACTTCAAATATGTACATCACTTGGTGAAAGTAGCACATCGAGAGCAGGTAACAGTATTAAATAAGCCTTGAATTAGGTATGTCTGCTATTGAATCTTACAGAAACCATTTATAGAATAGAATAGTCTTTGTCATTCGTTAGATCCTTCGTAGGCCTAAGCCAATGATTTAGAATATGTCATAATACAAATACAATACAGTAGATTAAATTCAAAGTTTTAACAGCTGTTTACAAACATGTCTAATATAATACAGTATTATACCTATCTAACGTGTGCCCACCCCCTCCAGATCAGCAAACAAATTGTCACTGTCACTGAATTTAAAACAACCAAAAAATGGAATTTGGAAGCAGGGATCAACAATAATGATAATGATTTATAGTTTAACTAATTTCTGTTCATCATATTTTAAGGATATTTGAAGCAAGTTTCTGTACTAGAACAGATAAAAAGAATTTGATACAAATGGATAATGAACTGTATTAAAACAAACAGATTTTTATCCAAGCAGCCAAAAACTACGTGTTGGAAGGGAGGTGACACGTGTGGGTAGGGTCTAGTTGTGGTGATGGTAATAAACATTGGGAAATTTTGCAGTCGCCTGAATAAATAGTATTTACGTGAGTCCTGGGGCTTGAAAAACTGAAAGTAAGCTGATTCCAATCAGATGTATTTCTGCTGTTCTGTGAAAGAGACCAACTGTATGTATGGTGTGTTTTGTTAGGTGGCCCTGATCATTGAGTTGGATGATGTGCATGACTTTGATTCTGAATTGGCAGAAGCCATTGCGTGCAACACACGTCGATATGTCAGTATTGCTTCTGAAGTTGTCCATGAAATTTTGCCGGACTACAAGGAACGAGAGGTAAGATCAGCATCAGCGGCTTCACACGCACTGCTGCTGCAGTGTTTGCCAGATGTTCATTAGATAGATTTTGTTGTAGTTTGAAGTTTGTTGGCAGTTACAGCAGACCATTACTCCATTAAGGTTGGTACATACCATTCTCAAATGTAACTGAAATTGTGAGTGAACAGAAGAACATAGATTGGTGTATAACCACTAATTTGAAAGTTATTGTTTCTCTGATGTCTGTAAAAATGAAAGTTTGCAATGAAACCTATAAAATCTGCTAAATTACACTATTTTGGGTTGCCTTTGTCATTAACATTTTCTTCATTGTATAAAAGTACATAGTAGGCCATGAGCAAGTGGACAGTCTATTGTTTAAATTTGTTTCAACACTGTGAACGTTGATAACATTTGGATATGAATGGGTGATGTTAATGTTTGTCACTGAATGTTAATTAGTTTTAAAATTTCTATATCGACAAAATGACTAAAATCAAGCAGAGTAGGAAAAATACCATCTGCCTTTACATTCAATAGCAGCAAGCCATGGATTCACCTTTACAAAGGTCAAGTTTTATAGGTCCTTGCTGCCTCCATCTTCACATCACCCTAATGATGGAGGCAGCCATGGACCTCTGAAACAAAGGTAAACTTCTACCAGACTACATGGCGCAACAACCCAGAAGACAGCCATTTTCAGATTCACTGCCCTGAAAACCTCAAATCCTATGTCATACTTCATTACAATCATATGCCAGTATGCACTGGTCAAAGATTTAATGCTACCCAAAGCAAAGTATTTCAACAATTTATTTTACTGGTTATGTCTTATTTTGGCATTACATATTTCAGTCAACTTATGGCCATCTTCAGGTGGCATACAGAAGGTTAAATTGAACCATGTGACATGTTAGATTTTCAATATGAGAGTGGCATTACTCTTGAGATTAAAATAGTAAATAGCATAGTAAATCTGAGTAAAACCACGCCCCAAATCTTAAGGATTACATCAATATTATTAAGATACAAATAAATTATGAAATTTTTTGCTGAGTCACACCATACATCGTACATACTGCATCCATCCATCATGATGATGTTTACGTGTTTGTAGTTACAGCAGGATCCTCAAAAATGTTAGTCAGTTTGTACCAGACTAAATGACACAGCATCCCAAAGGAAATCATCCTCATATGTGTTATACCTTGTAAAGTCTAGCATGAGCAAGACGAGACGTGAGAGGGAATGGCGGAGGCAAAAGGCTTTTATGTTAGAGATGTTAAGGAGATTCTTGTAGTTGCAAGTGGTTACTGATATTCTGATAATTTTCTGTTTGGCCACTAGGTGATAGCCAAAGACGCACTCGATGTGTACATAGAGCATCGTTTGCTGATGGAGCAGCGACTGCATCAGCCCGGTGAGCAGAGAGACGTGCGTAACAAGTATCCACCGGAGCTCATGAGGCGCTTGTAAGTCTCGCAATGAACACTGGTGCTGTTTCTGCACCTGGACTGTTTATATTTATCACCACATCCTGAGCCTTCTTGTTTTTATTCCCACAGACTGCTTAATCCTTTAAAGCCCAGTGGTAACTATGTGTACGAGCTTCTTTAACATTCAGAGTGTATTTGTGGGTTTCTTTTAATTCTGAGGCTAAACAGCATTGACCAAATCGTCATTGTAATGGAGAAGTGTTAAGTGATCAGATGAGGCTTGGTTTCAGAGGGTTAAGACAAATTTTAATCATCCTCCCTTCTATGCCTGAGTCATCCCGACCATCATTTAGTAATTTAGTATGCATTTCTTGCTTTCCTTGTACTGCTCTTCCTCAATGTGTTAACAGTGCCATGAGTATATTTCCGTCTCCCCGTGATGTGGTATCTGTTATTGCAGTGAAATCTGTTTCAAAGATATGAGCCTCAACAAACCAGTTCCAATCCGAGATGTCAAGGCAGAACACATCGGAAAGTTGGTTACAGTGCGGGGCATAGTGACTCGATGCACTGAAGTGAAACCGATGATGGTTGTTGCCACGTACACTTGTGACCGGTGTGGCGCAGAAACCTATCAACCGGTAAGGATCTTGTAGAAGTGTAAGATATGTGGTAAGAGGAACTTGAATATATATAGAAAGGATCTGAATTTATACTTGCAGTTTAAGGGAAAACTGAGTTGTGTATGATGTACTCTTTCAGGTGGCCAAGGTACAGGCATGAAATTTTATTATATCAGCGACCTCTAGTATTTTGTGTCCGAGTGTCAAGATGAACCACAACGAGGGCTTCACTTCATTAAAATTTGATGGTTTTATGATCCTTAATGTTCTTTGACAGACTAATGATAACAAAACCTGACAGTATTATGAAACCATGGCAGTGAGAAAGAATCATCTTATTGTAAGAAATGTCTTTGTTATAAATCATAAACAGTAAAACACGCTGAAGAAGAATGAGCATTTCAGTGGTATAATCCTGCAACCTGATTCATTTGATGTAATAGTTGCATTTGGTATAACTGACTGTGATAATAGTTCTGATGGGAACTCAAAGGTTCGTTACCATTATTCACAGGAGCTCACCACTACACACTGCTCCTGAGCCAGATGGAATCCATTTCAGTTAACGTTAATATTACCTTCCCATGTATGTTTATGTCTCTCCCGGTTCAACAGGTGAACTCCCTGACCTTCATGCCACTGGTGATGTGTCCAAGTGAGGACTGCAGAGTGAATAAGGCTGGTGGTCGTCTCTACCTGCAGACCCGTGGCTCAAAGTTTATGAAGTTCCAGGAGCTGCGTGTTCAAGAGCATGTGCGTCGTTCTCTGTATTAGCATGCGATTTTAAGTACGCTTGGTGGATAATTGGTTCTAATGTCAGAATGTTCTGCAGCACAACTAAACCTTAAATAAATGAAATATTATTTTTGGTAGTGACGTTTCCCTCATAGTTTATAGCCATAATTCAGTCAGTATTTTATTGTAGTCTGTATTTTAGGACATGATAAGGAACTTGATGCCAAATTGAGACTGATAAGGCTTTAGAATGATACAGGATATGTAATGTGCCTTTACTAGGTAGTGTGTGTAAAGTTTAATTTTGATTACAGTACAAAAAACTACAAAATAAAGCCAAATGTGTGCTTGTGAATGGATCAAGTATGGGGCTAGCATCCTATTAGAATTTCCATGTTCAATATGAGAGCAATACAGACTGTGACAAATATAAAAATGGACTTGTTTTATGAAGTGAAGGTGTTTGTGTTGCAGAGTGATTCTGTGCCTGTTGGCAACATCCCTCGCAGCCTGACAGTACTGTGTCGTGGTGAGACAACTCGCCGGGCTCTGCCGGGTGACCACGTCTCAGTTTCAGGGATCTTCCTTCCCCTCATACGCGCAGGATTTCGACAGATAGCCCAAGGTCTGCTGTCCGAGACTTTTATGGATGCTCATGTGAGTCTTGTAGTATTTTAGATCGGAATACAAGTTTCTTTTTCTGTTCCTTCTCCTTTCTTTAATCTTTGTTTTGTAATCTTGTGTTCTGCGTTCTCCTTGTTATTTGAAGACATCTCTTTATTTTCTCACTCTCATTGTCATTAGCCTTTACAATTTTTACTGCTGTTCCAACAGTTGAGGAGAGATGTTTGTACATTTGTTCAGTTCAGATGTCCCTTCTACACATTTAACAGTGCAGAGCTTTAAGAAACAATAACAGTGGATCATGTTCACCTTCTTCTGTGGTCTCATTGGCTTGTACTGCTGTGTCTTTGTTAAAATTTGCTGCCTCGGAAGTTCCACGCTAGTGCTATGTTTTCTTCAGAGTAGCCATTGTTAATTGCACAGGTATTTTTGATTGTGATCTGGATCCCTGTCTCTTACTGGCCAGTTTTCTTGGTCTGATCTCTTCTTTTCCATTCACTTTTACCCTGAAAATTGAGGCAACACATTATTCAGTACATTGGTAACTGCCTGCAATATTGCACGGAAGACAACAGTCTAAATATGAAAAATACTTTGTGCACAATGCAGTTCTGTAGTTTGATCTGCCACTACATGGGAAAGTTTTATAAATGCTCATATAAATTGTGTAGTGATTAGGTTAGTAGCTTGAACAAGAATGTGATTGAATGGGCTGTGTAGCGTGTGGTGCGTCTGGACAAGACAGAAGTGGATGAAGCCCCAGCTGCAGACCTGACTGCAGAGGAAGTGCAACAATTAACACACGAGGACTTCTATAGCCTTCTGGCAAGTTCTCTTGCACCAGAAATCTATGGACATGAGGATGTGAAGAAAGCTCTTCTGCTCCTCCTTGTAGGAGGGGTAGACCGCAAACCACAGGGAATGAAGATACGAGGTGTGCGCTGTTTGTTTATTTTATTCTTATACTCTCACTGTAGTTATGTTGCAGAATTGTGTAATCTGCCAAATTTTTTTCATTTTCTTCCCTGAATTTTTCTGTTTCCTTTAATTTTTTGCTACTGATAGCAACAGTAAGTTCCAGTTGAGACTAGCAAAAATTAATAATCATGGAAATTAGTCAACTTTTATTCCCACAGTTTTGTTCAATATAGATACCACTACTTGGTTATCTGATTAGCCTCAGAACTTCTCACCTTGTTCCTAATTTAACATTAACACAATCTGTGTTATTCATTTGTGTGTATAATTTTCATTAGTGTAGGTTCCTAATGTCCATTATTAGTGGCACATAATCTTATTATGATTTTTCAAAATTCATATGTTTTTGATTTGCCCGTTTAAAGTTTATGTGGTTTATGAACTTCCTTGGTGTACATAGAACTCACCTTAAACGTTCCATACTGTATGGTCTTCATTTGATGGTGATTACGACAGATGACCAGGCTTCAGATTCAAGTGATCCCCATCGCTTATATTGTCCTCATACCACCGTCGAACTAGGCGCAGGACAGATGCTGAGCTGAGTTGATCTGCTTGTCTTGCTCCAGGAAACATCAACATCTGCCTCATGGGTGACCCTGGTGTTGCCAAGTCTCAGCTTTTGTCGTACATTGATCGGTTGGCATCCCGTAGCCAGTATACGACCGGTAGAGGCTCATCAGGGGTCGGTCTCACTGCGGCTGTCATGAAGGATCCCCTCACTGGCGAGATGATGTTGGAGGGCGGAGCACTTGTGCTGGCTGACCAAGGCATTTGTTGTATTGATGAATTTGACAAGATGGCAGATACTGATCGAACTGCTATACATGAGGTGATGGAGCAGCAGACAATTTCAATTGCCAAGGTAAGACGTTTGTCATTGGGTTCATTTGAGTCAGCATTCTTTATTATTAGTTTCATTAAAATATTTTCTTCTTAAAATACTGTGAAGACAAGGATGCACATCTGAATAAGATGTGTGTGATATTTGAATAAATATGGCACTGTTTGTAATACACCTGTGTGATTGTCAGAAACTTTAGAATTGATGTATCCATACCTGTTCTTGAATTTTGCCTTAGTTCAGATGAACATACATTTACTTGATTTTAATATATCCAACACATGCTGTTTATGGAAGCACTTGTGTTGACACAGTTTTCATGTTGCAGGCAGGGATTATGACTAGTCTGAATGCGCGCGTCAGCATTCTGGCAGCAGCGAACCCGGCATTCGGACGGTACAACCCTCGCCGCACCATAGAACAGAACATTCAACTTCCCGCAGCTCTGCTCTCTCGTTTTGACCTGTTGTGGCTGATACAGGACAGACCGGATCGGGACAATGATCTACGATTGGCTCAGCACATAACGTATGTACACCAGCACTGCAAGCAGCCTCCTGCCACTGTACAGGCCCTGGACATGCAGCTGATCCGACGCTATATCGCTCTCTGCAAGAAGCAGCAACCTGTCATTCCAGAGGAGCTCACAGACTACATTGTGGGTAGGTCAACGTTGATGTTTGTACCATATGGGTAATGTTATGACGGTGCCTTATGCAATTTTCTCTTACTTCCATAACTGCTTCTCATTTGTTTGTGCCCAGTCTTTCGCTGCTGTTTTGTGTATCTTACTGAGTCTCCTCTACCAGGGTGCATCATCTCGTGACACGGCGTCCATTCTCCGTCCTTCCAAAAGTGTGTCATCAATCCCTTGCGATGAGACAGAGACAGTCCCTGAAATAGTGGAAACTCATTCCATGTTGACAAATTTATTGCTTTCCTTTCAAGAGGTTTCCTGATTTAACAGTTGGTCTCTTGAAAACTTCTTAATAGAGAACTCAAATGGAAGGAAGTCTGTAATTGCAGCTTGCAGTGAAAGCCATGCTGTTGCTTTCAGATTCTTACGTACATATGCGCAAAGAGGCTCGGAATGTAAAAGATATGACCTTCACATCAGCAAGGAACTTGTTAGCCATCCTGCGTCTGTCAACAGCATTGGTAAGTATGTGAAGTCCATCTGATTGTCCTTTGTCTGACAGGTTGCTGTCTTGTACTAGGATATGTCTGCACTTCTTAGATTCATGTACTGAATGTTCACATTACCAAAATCTGCTTCCTTAAGGTGTATTTCAATTTTATCCTCTCGGCTATTTTTGTACCAGTGTGAGGAACCAGGGTTACATCTCTTGTGTCTGAAGTGTTACATTATATTATTTTATTAAGATTTTTATTCTTGAATTTGCATCTCACAGACAAAAAGTGTTAAAACCATCTCTATTGAAATTTTAACAGATAAATATGTCAAAATATGAAGAGACGAGAGCATTTGGAGGGCCTGAGCATAGCTGTGAGGATAGTAGTAAAATGGATCTAAGGTAAAAGTATGGATTCGATTCAGCTGGTTAGGGGTTGGGACCAGTGATTTATGAACATTTGGGTTCCATAAAAAGTGGGGAATTTCTGCACTGAGCATGACCCAAGGAGTTATTTAGTATGTGATATTTATCCCTGACTTTGATAAAGTGGATTTTAGAATATTGTCTGTGTGAACACTTCTCTTTGTAAGTATGTATATCATACTCGCGTGCCCTGTGAACTTTACATGAAGCTGTAAGACACACTAGTGATGTTTCTTGAACAGTTTGATTCATTTATAGGATGCACTATCACAAACAGTACTTTATAAACAATGTGTATTTTACATAATTTATTACGTGTATTTCAGGCTCGCTTACGACTCTCAGATCAGGTTGAAAAAGAAGATGTGAATGAAGCCATTCGCCTTACAGAGATGTCTAAAGACTCGCTGAACCATGCTGAAGATCGGTATGGAAGGTAAGATGAACGATGAAATATCATCTTCTGGATCGAGGCCACTTTGGCAGAAAATGGAAAGGCAGTTAATGTTGAGTTATTCTTCTTTGTGACTGTTGTGTGCATCTACGTGTGCTCAGGATTACGTAGTTGCTGCAGGAATTTATAATTCCTTTCTGTATAGAAAATTCTTGTCTGTAGGTTTTCATGGCTGGAGTTCAGCGTATAACTTTGGCTTCTGGGCGAGATCTGCGTTGAACGTTTGGTATTAATTTTTCGACAAACATGAGTCCTTTTGAACTGCATTGTTTGCTGAAACGTTGGTTAACTCCAAACATTCAATATGGCTTTCATCCAAAAGTCAAAGTTATGTATAGAGAATGTTCAGAATTTTAGATTGTATAAATTTCCAAATGTTGTGTTCAGAGAAAGTGTACATCATCCCCCATTTTACATTCAATGCTAGTGCCGTGCATAAATTACTGTGGTTTAAACTGTAAATTCGTAAAAATTAAAATTGAAAACGTACATTCGACATTTCTTAACATGCATATGAATTGTCAGTAATGGAAGTCCCAATTAGATTGGACTATTCCAAATGAAGCTGTACCCACCTCAGGTTCAGTTAATATTATATTTATTGAGGCATGAGGGTAATTTATCCCTGTGTTAAAGCAAAATTTGTCTCTGAGCTTAGACATAGTGTTGTGATGCTGTGTACATAGTCGTGGGGGAGAGCCCCTGAATGGTGTGGGTGGGACAAACAGATGTTGTTTTGTATTTGTAGGACAGAGAATGTGATGGACAAGATCTACAGTGTGATCTGTGAGCTGGCAGCTGAGAACAAGACGGTGAAGGTGGCAGATGTTATGGAGCGCTGCGCAAGTAAGGGCTACAACCCCAACCAGGCGGAAGAATGCTTGGAGGAGTACGAGGAGCTCAACGTGTGGCTTATCAACCAGGCTCGCACCCAGATCACCTTTGTGTAAGAGGAAAATTGGTATGTAGCCGCAAGGAACTCTGATAATAGAACATGAAGGCCTGAAAATATAGCTGCTTGACCACTTAAATCAAGTTCGTGTCTCAACGTTGTATTTCTCAGATGTTCTATGATATTGCCCTCATACCAAAAGTCACTGTGTAATAACCATTTTATAGGCTCCCAAGCGGTTGTCATTGGAGGAGACATTCTACAGGTGTGTAGGGTAGCTGCAGATATATTGTATTGAATAAGCGGTTGTGAAGGAGGTCTACCAGTTTGGATGGCTAACGCCTCTGTGTGAGAATTAGCATTTTACATAATATAATAAAGGGCCTCAAACTTGTGTCAACACAATGATGAATGTATGAAGAGAAGGTTTCGCGGTGACTGAAGTTGATGAGATACTCGCAGGCTACAAGCCGAGTCAGGTGGCCGAAAGCTGAACAAACCAAATCTTCTGCCGATGCTTCCACTTCAGTAGGAACTCCGTGTTGGACAAGGCGTCAGTTTATGTGTACCAGCTCATAAAAGAAGCTGTTGAGATCTGCCTAAACGACGACAACTTCAGCAGGGACGATGGTTTCCTGGTATCCTGAGACAAGATTGCTGTCCATCCAGAAGGCTGAGCCAGCTAGTGCGAGCACGCGACTTCAACCGGCCAGCACGAAAGAAAGCAACGGATGGGCTACCAGCAACATCATTACTACCTGTCATCCATCGCCAGTTCCCATCAGCTGGCGCACAGGAAAGGAATGGACTGGTTACCCAGCAACCCTGTGGATGAGAACGGGTGGTTCTCAAAACAGCAAAAGATATGGTTTGTTGACCTGACATGGCTTGTAGCCCGAGAGTATTTTCATCAACCACAATGATGAATCTTTGGACTGTCTGAGCGGACGATGGTTCCTTAAGAGGAACTGCGCACCATGGAGTAGTTACCCGTCCGGTTAACATTTATCCTGCAAGCAGGAGACACGTTCAGAGAACATTTAAGGACAACCGTATCTTCGCTTTATAAATCACCTTTCTTATTTATAAGAGGAATTTTGAAAAGGAAGTGTTTAGTTTTCTATTGAGCAGGCTTCCTCAATTGGAAAAATGATCTTTCTGGGGTACCAGATATCCTGACTCGTGTTTTACAGGCAAAATTATTTATTAAAACAGGCTTCTGCAGCTCTCTAATTTGGTGTTATTAATCAGCATATGAATGAACCAACTTAGCATTTCTTTCAACATTGTCATCTTTGATTTGCAAATGCAGTGACAATGGCTTGTAATAAGCCAGACTGCTCCCACTTCACAACCTTTGTGGTTGATCAAGCTTTGCTATTTAAGAAAGGTGTGAATTGATGTTAATGTTCTTTGTCATCACTTCCAAGAGGAATCCTGACACTACTCTCCTGACTGGTTGTCCCTCTCAGTTCATCCCATCTAATTATTTTGCCATTTGATGTTATAAAACCAATGTCGTAATAAAAATAGAAGAAACAAATACATAAAAGGAATTTATTACGGTCTTCCTTGTTCCTCAAAGTATTAGGCATACTTTGCCTCTTCAGGTGTTGCAGAACTCTTTGAGAGGTCCTGTTTTCTCTTGTTTCAGGGGATCATATTAAAGGCCATTCTTTAGTATGTTGTATTTATTTGATGGTCGTGTGTAAAATTGTCGCTGTGAAGATCAGTGACTCAACCTTTCGCCTCACCTTATGCAGTAGTCTTGCGTGATAGTCAATCATAAGTATACTTTATCACATTTAATGATTTTCTTTTCTAAAAAAATGCTGTTATTACGTGCCAGTAAACCAAACTGGAGGGCAGAGCGCTGTTTGAATGGAACGTCTATCTGGGCTGATCGTGTGCACGGAAGATAGCATTAGGCTGTGCACATTCTGTCGCCAGCGTATTGTTAGACTCAGGTGGCCAATTTCATACGATTCAAAATTCCCCCCTTTTCTTAAATCGGGGCTTCAGAAATATACTCCCCTTGTTATCTTGGGTGCATATGAAAGTATATTTTGGGTCACACTGAAAAACAATGGGAGAATGGATTTTTTAAATGGAAATTGTGTTTGTCTTTATCCATGTGCTTAAATTCCAATTGATTGCATTATTTTAAATTATCATTTGGACAGTCAGTGACAAAATTGAGGCTTCCGATATCGTATACCATTCATTCGTGAACCGTTGTTCTCTATTATTTTTTTTTATAGAATTAGTTCTAATTAATTCAGGTTATAAAAAACAAGTCTTGAATAGATTGCATGAAATTGTGTGAAGGGGCACACCAATTTTGCAGTTCACCTCATTCGAACGTGGCCCACATTCATTTGACCGTACCTTTATTATGTGCTGGCATACCCCTGGCCCTCGTCCGTTCTCTGAGTCCCAACGCGCAGCGTCTCGAGAGTTTCACATCGGTGTGGGATGGTGCAGTGAGTACCAGTTTGAGGCCCAGTTTTGCTTTTGATAGGCACAGAATATTACCTGCTAGAAAAATAACATTCTGTTGTTGCAAGTACGACAAACTCGGCACGTTGCATCAGGGCAGTATCAAGATGGCTGTCTTCTGGGACGTGGCATCGCACAGTCTGGTAGCTGGCGGCCGAATCAGAGGAGCTTACTGTCTCTGTCGTCACCCTGATGATGGAGGTGGTAAGCACCTTTGAAATGCCAGTCAGTATCTACCTTTGCTACATCCCGGAGGACGGCCATCTTAACCTCAAAGTCCTACATCTAACAGTACTTTGAAACCTGGCTGCATGGACAGAGCAGTCTCTCTATTGGCTGTTTTTTATTTTGTGTTGTTGAAGAAAACGTATATGGACATTAATATTGAATCTTAAGATGTGAATATAATGCTAATCGGTTATTACGTTGATATTGGGCAATTATTTGTTGTAGACATTAATCGAGTGTTCTCCACAGCAATGAAGTCGCTTTAATTTGGAGGTATATTTGCGACTAAAAGTTGCAGAAATGCGCCCTGTCTGCCTGTCCACATGTAACAACTTGAGAGAGGCAAAATTTGTTTTACTTGAAGACCTGGATGGGGAAGTGACTGGGTGAGGGATTCCCCTGCAATTCACGAAGGTCAAATTGTGGCTTACGTTTTGCAATCTGTTGCCCATACGAAGGCCGCGTTCATTTATGGGAAATAAAGGTCGAGCGTGGAAATACTGACTGCTGCGTCTCAGGTTCTTACATTTAAACTGCGCACCTGGCACTTTGCCCGCGCATGCGCCATCCTTCGGGCTGCCGTGTGCTTTGCAGAGGATGCGATCTGGCGGTAGAGTGCTGGCAGCTGTTTCTGTGGAACCGGAAGTGGTGTTATTTGTGATATGCAGATGCGTCAACTTTCAGTCAACATAATTTGTTTCTTTGTTATTTCATTCAATATAAAAATTTGCAGTTCAGTTAATGGATGTAGTACATTTTATGTTATATGCTGCTTTTGTGGGATGCTTTGCCAAATTTAAACTTTCAACTTCAGCACATAAAACAATTTGTGTCGTAGGCAAATTTATGTATTTATTTCGGGTTTAACAACACTGTCGGTGGCTCAGACTGTACAGCGTTGAATAATAACGTGATTGATGAATAGGAGAGGATGTGGAAGGAAGCTGTTGTGGCGTAATTTAAGGTAGGAACCACGCAAAACCTCTGACCCCGGAACCTCCTGACGGCATCGAGGAGGGTGGGAGGAGACCCGATTAGGTTAGGCCTACCAGGCATCGGCGGATCGTCAACGTGGTTGGTTTCAACATTCGGGATTTTGTCGTGTGAATTGTTTTGTGCAGAGTTTCAATTTAGTGGCGACGCGAAGTTCAAGACGGGCCGTAAACACAGTTTTATTTATCATGGACCGACTCCGTGTTGCGTACGAGTGTTTGTTCCCTTTTCCCTGGGACGACGACGTAGAACGCGGAATTGATTGCTGTTTGTTCAGCTTGCAATTCAGAGCAGTTGCTGGCATATTAGCGCTTCAGACAGCCCTTACAGACCACAAATAGTTCGTATAAAAACTAATTTTATGGGTGTGGAACTTGGTCTCCTACTCGAAGGGTAAAGAACGTAGAATCAGATTGTCTGAGAACGTGTGCGGGGGGGGGGGGGGGGGGGGGTGGACAATTACGTACGACAGGCTTCATAATTTGTGCTCCTCAGGGTGATCAAATCGGTATCAGAAATTTACGCAAGTTATCGGGGCTTTGTGTACACGGTAGTTAACCTCGTGGTTCTATAGGGCGTGACGTTTCGGAACAGAGAAGAGGCTATTTAGGGAGTTGGCGAAGCCGATCACAGAGTCCCCGTTTGATATTTTGAGTTTTTGACTTACCGAGGCAGCGACAGACGGTCAGGATTCCGAAGGTCACTGATACAGCTTTATAAACGCCGTCAACTGCTGCCTGGTCGCAGGGGAGATGTTTACAGTTCCAACTCTCTCTCTCTTTCCGAATTGAGAAATTGTTGGAATGGGGGAAACCCGTGCATCCCCGGCGCGGTCAGCGGTGACACTGTGCCCACTCTGTTCCGTGTGGAGCTGTACCTCAATTTTTCCATACTTCCTCACGACGCGGCATCTAATTAATCACAGGGACACATTTATCTCCTTTCAGCGCGAACGTTCGTCCGGCATTTCACGTGCCAGTTGCCACGGAATGATAATAGAGGGCAGCACTGTTGTCGGTGGTGGCAACACGAGGCACCAAGATTTGTCGTGGTTTGCTTCAGGCGAACGTCAGGATAATATCTTTCTTAATCAGCTCCCCGTCTGATTCGACGTCGTGTAACCTCTATACCTGCAGCGTGGGGTGGAATCGGATTTGTCATGTAATTCGTTGGCATTTGCATTGTTTCCGTCAGCTCCACGTCGTCCCCATTTTAGAAGAACTTTCAGCATTGTAGGTTAGTGAAGGTTGGTTAGGTTACATTCATGTGCGCTTCGCGGCTTGATTATGTAACATTTCTGTATCAACTACTGACAGTTTATTTTTGAATATATCACACCCACCTCCTCCAGTTCTGCGTGACTTCACGGTGTCAGTTTCGTTTTTATGAATATTCTGATGGGGGCGAAGACGTAAATTGGATTGTCGTAAAACAGAGGCTTAAGTGGCTGGCATTGTCATGGAAACGAAATGGATGAGTTGTTTAGGATATCTGAACATCGGTGCTGGTGAGATTGACTTCTTACGGGCTCCTAATCTCCCACCCGTGATCTAGTGACTGTCCTATTATTACCTGATGACATTGCATTGCGAAGGCAACAATGTGTGGTGGATCCCTGTTTACTGTCGAGTTTTAAGAACGCCGTGCGTGAGTCATTTCTACACGTCCTTCATTCTGTCCGGTGTGCCTGCAGCCGAGTAACAAATGACGGTCTGCTGTCTGTCGCCACTAGAATGCGCTCGTGTCAGCATTTGTACGCAATTAGACCGGCAGCTGTTTGCATTTAGAGAAGAATTTGTATACAGTTTCATAAGAAGCAGTGGCGATAAGCTATTATCAACACAAAGTTATTATTAGAAACACCCTGAGTGGGGTTTGTGTCGGTTTGCCTTTCGATTTATTAAATGTTCGTTTCAAAACTCATTCTGCTGAAGTAGAGAAGAGCAAATACGCGCCGAATTGAAAACACAAAATGTGTTGGATGCAGGTTCGTGTTTTGTAATTATTATTTCTGTATTGTTTGGTCACGCTGTAACAAAACAAGAATGCAATGCGCGTTATTACCGCTGTGTTTGCTGTTGACCGTCTAATTTAACGGGCATTTATAGGTACAGAGTGACTGTTAATTCATTTTTAAAATGTTTTTGTTGTCGTTAACCTCACAAAGGGACTAACATTGTAACCAACTTTACGACATAAAATGCCACCACCACAATTATGCTTTGTATTTTTTTTTTAAAAATAATCTGTTGCCTGCATGGAGACTTTGCATTACTTTGGTCGTATACTCGCGAAATTGCAGTTATTGTTGGTTGCAAATTTAAATTGTGAGGCGAAGCAATGCAAAACTGACCTTTATATTGTGTTAATGAAGTCGTTTAGAACATTGTTATCCGTATCTCCGCGTGCTTGGTCTGGTAGCTAGGTGATCATAACAGAGTTTTATGTTGTAAAAGCGATCTAAGTCCGCTGTTTCGGTAGAATGTTGAAGGCAGCGTAGATCTTTACTCTGACGTTTTAAAACCGCCCACGACACTGTAGTAGGCCTTCCGCGAAATGATCTGTTGGATTGGACGCTGTTGCTGTGGGCTCGTGAGCACTAACACTAACATTAGCACTAAGTCCTCTGCCGCGAGTTCTAAAGCCAAGGCGATTTCTGTTATTGAGCACTAAATGTCCGTCCTAAGCCCGGCAGTTGTAAATTATCTGTACGACCGCCATTACGTGAAACCATATCAAGGGATCTGGCTTATAATGCTTCGATGTCGTGAGTGATCCGTGTTCGGCTGGAGTTCAAGCAGGCCTAAGCGGCGTCCATTGGCTGAGATTAGTAAGGAGGTGAGGATGTGAAAGGAAACTGTTGGAATATAAATCACAAAAACGTAGGGTCAGAATAGTCGGGATTCAAACAAGAAGCTGGCGTCCACTCGGTCGTCTTACGTTCTGTTCGCGACTGAGGAGCATTTCGAGGCCACCTGCGGGATACCAAGGCCCCGACCTCAGGATCCGTCTTGATTTCAGTCGAACCTTCCGGATGCCGCGTGTACGTCACATTCCCGTCTCCTAGGTGACCTGTAGCCTAGAAACCGCCGAGAAGCAGTAACAAGCTGGTCGCGTTCTGATGTAATGCCTCCAGCGCTGTTCTGACATTCGCCTCCCACGACGTGAGCCGCGTCTCGTACGCTCCGGGCGGAGTTAGCGAGACAAGAAGGCTTCATTATCCCGGCACATCCAACATCCTTCTTTGGAAGCAGTTCGGCTAATCAAGAAACTCTCGGGCTTTTATGGAAGTCGAAAGTTCGGTGCCGTGTTTACAAGAGCCCGCCAGCTTTCGCTTATGTTTCCACGAGATCCATTTTGACACGACCCGTTCACCTTCGTCGTCGTCCTCAGAGTAGCTTATTCTCTTCTACCCGTTTGAATCTCCTGCCCAATCCAAATCACACATTCGTCTTTAAGCTGAATGTGTGGAAATCATTTCTTCATTGAATCTGTTACGTATTAGGTCTACAGGCTCCCCCCCCCCTGAATGCGAAAGCTGCTGAGATCATTGGAATTCTTAAGAAGTGGCCTGCAGTTGTTTGACGGGGTTGCACCACCCGCGGCCTTGTAATCCTGGGGTCTCGGCTTCGAATTTATAACTTGTGTTGGGCAAGGCCGTGGTCTAGGCAACACGGAGTTTTCCTCCGTGGCATCCCAACAATTACTCCATTCACACACAGAAGAAGGCAATGGCAAACCACTTCTGGATCATCTGCCAAGAACGTATATGAACAGGTCCCAGTCCGAGAAAAGGATCGAAGGATCCTGTTCATATGGACCTGTCGTCAGACAGAACACTAAATAAATAAATAATAAGTGGTGTTTGTTCCTACGCGCATTTGCTGTCATCGCAAGAATCAGGAAGCTGGACTGTGTGATTAAATGCCATTGTCGGAAAGCTTTGTCGTGTGTGTGACTTTTCATAATGGATCGCTCGGAGCCAGGCCGTTGGTGCTGGATTACGTAATGCACTTTTTACCTCAAAATGTCAGTTGCGAAATGCATGAAGTGACGCGCCTCTGAATCGAAATCGGTTTGATTGCATTTCCTTTGTCGAGTGCGAGGAAGTCTCCAGCAATTGTTCCGTTGGTCGTCGTTAAACGTTTGTCGCTGGGAAAAGCTGAGTGAGGACACGCACAGTTAATTCCGGAAATGATTACTGCCGTTCAATTCACAAGATTTGTACTTCCGGTTCCGTTTGATGGCACGCTAAACATGGCGACGATGCGAAGTCTTTTTCTTGTGTTACGCAAATATTAATGCAGGAGTTTGTACTGATGGATGCAGAATGCACGGTTTATCGGTTCCAACTCTTTCCACTTCTCGCTGACTTCATTACATTGTTTAATAACGTTTTATCTGAGCGTAAATGAAGTCTGTCTTCGCACTTTTAATTTCGGCAGCCTTTGTCGTGCTGATCAGCCCACGCTTGGCTGGACGTTTTGTAGTTTCCGTGTTTGATGCTCGCTGGACCCCGTGTCCGTCGCAGATAGGCGTTTTGAATAGTCGAGCCAACCTCGATTATCGATTGTGCGTCTGTCGATAAACCGGTCCTTCATGCCGGTGCTCGTTTCGATTGTCACAAGGCAGTGGTGATGACGTTTCGGTAGCAGTAATAAGCAGCGTCCGCTTTGCCTAAAGTTGGGTTGTACTTTGCTCCGTCGTCTTTAGGTGTTTCGTTTGCAGACAAGCGCGTCCTGTAACTCTGTGTTGAAGTAACATTTAAATGTTTATTTGAGTCGTCATGACGGCGGAAATTGTCTCGAAGCAAAGAAAATAGAAGTTAGGGAATGCACACAAAGCGACACGTCTCTTGGGTTTTCGTTCTGTATTTTCGATTCGTGAATCCTAATTTTTCCTGCTATTTTATAAATGGCGTGACGCAGGCGAAGGAACTCCAGTATTAAATTTGACCAAAATCTGTTCAACGTTTCTGGAGTCGGAAGACGACGACAGAATTAGAAAAAAAAAACCTCTTAATTTATGGGAGAGGCTGTTAAGATGCACGGAGAACGCGTCTTCTTGCATTTTCGCGGGAAATATTTTTCACTCCGCTAGTGACGTTGTTCAAAATTAAATTTCGTTTGCTGTCGACCCAGAGCTTGGACGGACGGGCGAAGGTGAAGGTGCATTTTGCAGGTTTCGTTGCGAACGAACGAGGTTACATTCGACCGGGACACCCGAAACATTGATGTTGCCAGGACGAGTCATTCGTCGCTTTAAATTATCTGCGTGGGCTGCGTAGGTAACACGCGGAGTCATCAGGCAGCCGCTTTGAAGTCTGTCTGTCTGTCAGTAGGCCGCGACCTCAAAAGGCATCGTTTCGATACGCGGACTTGTTTGCGTGGATCATGTTAATTACTGTTCCTTACGATTCGCTGATGCGATTCTGAACGAAAGCTGTGTAATTAAGCTCTGCTCGCTCCGGGTCAGGGAGCCCTCTGCTTTCGCCTCAGTCGAGTGGAACAAATGTATTCAGGGCGGGAGGTTTCGGGTGCGAATCCAGACCGCGGGGGTGGCCTCACCTTCCTGTACCCAGTCCGAATTACTCGACCAAAATGTTGTATCTGTTCTCTGTTTCCAGTCAGATGAAACTACGTGATTTTATTCGCTCTCCCAACTCAATTCCTATGAAAGTGGCTGACAGTTTACTCAATTGCGTCATTTCTGCTGCTGGTTAGGCGTAGGCAGTGTGGAATTGGGAAGGAAGCTGTTTTTTGAAGAACTGCCTGGGATTTGCTCTTGGGAGATCAAAGAAATCACGAGAAAGGGCGAACGTATGGTCCATTCTTATTGTTAACTGGCATCCGACAAGGTGTGGAGGGTTCGAGTGAGTCGTCAGATTCCCGCTCCGGCCGATTGATTTCTTTTGTTATCAAAATGAGTGGAAACGACCGACAACTGGAGCTAATGTTTACGGAACTTGAGTTATTTTTGCTGTCATGGTCACGGCTGCTTAGTTGACCCAGAGGTTGGTTGTCAGGGTAATAATAGGCTCTCGGACAGAGGGACACGCTGCCTGGACGGCCATCTGGAGCACCCCCCCGTCCCCCCCAACAGAAGTCTAGGTCGAACGAACCGTATATATGTTGGCGTACCAGCGTCGTCTGTGTGAGATTGTGATATGAGGACGCGGTATGGAAGGAATTTGTGTGTTCTTTCAGTGACAGTGGTGGATAATTCTACATTTTTTTAGGAATCCGCGTTTTATCTCACTGTTAAAACATGAAATTCAGAAAGTAGTGCTCGAAGGTTCAGAAACATCGTACTCATCAAAATGCACTCGTCACCAGCGTTGATCGGCGTGGCCGTTGCCTTTCTGAATTTACTAATTCAATCGCAGACTGCAGCTGAAGTTCCGCCCGGAGAGACGTCTGAGTGTGGGGCGAAGACCGGAGAAGTGTGTCGCAGGTCTGGTGATGTATCTTTAATCCTCTCCTCCTCTGAGCATCTGTCGTGCTCTGTCTTAGTGAAAGTTTAGTTTTCAGTCGTGTCTTGGCGCTTCACGCGAAGTATTTCGGATTCTTATCAGCGAGAATTATAAAATACACAAACACAACCCCAACATTCCAAATGTCAGTTCAAATTTGAAGTCGTTTAAGTTACGTGAATGAGCTGTAGGCCGTCTTCTGATAGGTCAGATCGCGGATGCAGCGAGCTGGATCCTGTCTCTTCCCACTTTGGTTGGTGGAGAGACTTGGTAAAAACATGGAAATACGGAGGAGAGGCGTGGGGGCTTTTTCTCGGTTCACTGCGTTGTCTTCGGGTTGTGGCGTCCAGGACGGATTCCTGTCCGTGACAGTTGTAGGCCCGCGCTTTGCTGACTACGTTCCGTTCATTCCAAAGCGAGATTGGCTGAGACCCCACTCAGAAAACGCGCCCTTTTCTCCTCCTATTCAAATGTTTCTGATGCAACGTTTGTGAATGTCAAACCTCTCAGCATCTGAAGTGCAATTTTGTTCTGCTTCATTCATTGCCAGCGTCTGCTCCGAGTAATTTTCCGCTTCAGAAGAGACCTACAAATACGACTTCTGTTTATTTGGAGCGACAAATTATCCTGAATATTAGCCACTGCACCGCACTTCCGAAACAGATTCTAAAATTGCAGAATTAGTGTAATTTGCTTCGGACCTAAGAGAGCGCCGATCCCGGGTCTCTGGCTGTCTTTCAGGTCGTGGGACGTGTTTTCGGAGGTTCTGGGGCGCTGTCGGCTGCAGGCGTCGAGGCGAGGCGACGGCTTCACGTTCGGCGTGTGGCAGTGCCTGAGGAATGAGACAGTTGCTTCCCTGGACCGGATGATTCTGACGGACGTAATTCGTGTGGTGGACGGAGTGGATCTCGTCCGTCTGTCGCCCGCCAGTGGCTTCGCCAGGTAGAGCCACAGCTGACGACGTAAAATTCACTTTACTCTGTCTTTCGTGTCGTCCGTCTCTGTGATCAAAAAGTT